AGTGGAAAGATATACTGTAAAATTTAATTTCATTTATTTGGTGATTTTGTGTTTTTCTGATCTATTTTGAAGGGGTACCAGAAGAAGGACTTTAAGATTAATATAAAAAGTAAAAGAGATTCAAGAATAAGATATGTAGACTGTGCAGTGGCTCATGCCTATAATCCCAGCACTTTGGGAGGCCAAGGCAGGTGATCACTTGAGGTCAGGAGTTTGAGACCAGCCTGGCCAACATGGTGAAACTACGTCTCTACGAAAAATACAAAAAATTAGCTGGGCATGGTGGTGGGTGCCTGCAATCCCAACTACTCGGGAGGCTGAGGCAGGAGAATCACTTGAACGTAGGAGGCAGAGGTTGCAGTGAGTCGAGGTTGCACCATTGTACTCCAGCCTGGGCAACAAAACAAAACTCCATCTCCAAAAAAACACGAATAGATATGTAAATGCGTGTGCACCCATGTGTAGGTGGTTATGTACATGTTACAGTATAAAGTTTTTTTCATCCAAATGAGCTTCACTTGTTTCAGTTTCTGGAATTGCTTTTGAAGCTGACTCCTTGGTTTTGGGATGCTCACCATAATAGGTACCTTATTCATTTATATACAAGGCTAATAATATTCACCCATTAATCTTGAAGAAAGCTGCACAGCTCACCTTAAGTTTGCATGCTGATGCTACACAGTGAGATTTTTGTATTCTGCTTAGTAATGTAAATTGAGCTTTCCTTTAGCCAGCCTGCATGCTTTTAAAGAAGGTGAAGAAATGCCTTTCTAAAATTTTAGTGATTTAGATTAGACCATTTAGTGACTGTAGGAAGGCATTGGAAAATATTGTAATTGCCTCATTGAATGGTAAGACAGAGTCTGTCTTTTTTTTTTTTTTTTTTGAGACGGAGTTTTGCTCTTGTTATCCAGGCTGGAGTGCAATGGTGCGATCTCGGCTCACTGCAACCTCCACCTCCTGGGTTCAGGCAATTCTCCTGCCTCAGCCTCCTGAGTAGCTGGGATTACAGGCACCTGCCACCATGCCCGGCTAATTTTTGTATTTTTAGTAGAGACGGGGTTTCACCATGTTGACTAGGATGGTCTCGATCTCTTGACTTCGTGATCCACCCTCCTCAGCCTCCTGAGTAGCTGGGATTACAGGTGCGTGCCACCATGCCTGGTTAATTTTTGTATTTTTAGTGGAGACAGAGTTTCACCTTGCTGGTCAGGCTGGTCTCAAACTCCTGACCTCGTGATCCACCCGCCTTGGTGTCCCAAAGTGCTGGGATTACAGGTGTGAGCCCATGTGCCTGGCCATTAAATTACCTTTAAAGATGATGACAGTAGCTATCATCCTTTGAACTGCTATTATCCACAGTTTGATAATATTTATGTACATTGGGATAAGAAATTTAAACATATCTCAATAAATTTTCACCACAATCTCACAAAGTAGGTATATTAATTTTACAGATGAGGAAATCAAGGTGGAAATCAATCAAATAATTTAACTGAGGTCATATAGTTAGTAAGTGGCCATGCCTGGATTCAAATGAGGTTTATCAACTCCAAAGCTCTTGCTTTTTTTTGTCTTTGTGCATACAGAAAGAAAGTATAAAGCATTTACTCTTAATTACCATTTAAAATAATGTACATCACATCACTTTTAGTGACAAATATGAGATCATATAACTTTCACCAATATCATCAATAACAGAAAGGTAATATTACTAAGTGAAATGTCCTGGTGTAAATTTTCCAGGATCATGAACCATTTGACAGACTTTTACCCAGTATAAGATTTTGTTATTTATTTTATTTTTCCACCTGGCAGTGAATTTGCACAGATTTTATTAAATATAACCTTCAAAAAATATGAATTTAGTTTGGGCATAATTTTCACAGGATATGCCAGTTAAAAATATTTTCACCAGTTCTTGTGTGCCAGTTACAGATTTATTGCCTCACAGCTCCAGATTCAACCTTTTTGCCTGTTCTGTGAAAATAGACCTGGGCCTTTAGATATTTGTCCTTTGCCAGCTGACATTGAAGTTTGTCAATAGAGGGAGCTGCAGAGACATTGCAGGAAAAGGGGATTTTACTTCCTGGTTCCTGCAGCATGCTTGAGTTCCTGTGTAGCTTCCTCCAATACCAGGCCCCTTGAACAGCACACACCACTTCCCAGGTGGCCAGTTCCTATTGCATGAGGCACTTCTCTAGTGTCCTGCCCTTGAAGTGCATGGCAGCTCAGCAGCCAGGTTCCCCTTGTATCCTCCTCAGTGGTTCTATAGTGGCATGCCCTCCAGGGAGCAGAATTCCAGAATGTTTTATTAATATAGCACCATGATGGACTTCTAAGCCATATAATAAGCTATGGCCAAGCCCTCTCCAATAAAACCTGGATCTCAACTTTGGGGGCAATGGGAATGGCTATTAGATGTACTGTTATACATTAGACTTGATATTATACATATAATATATATAATGATATCTAATAGCCATAAATTTATATCTGTGATTTCCTATATTCTTTTGATTTCTCTCTTACTAATGAATTCCTCATTACTCCAATCTCCTGTATATAGTTTATCAGTATTTCTTTTTTTTCTTTTTCTCTCTTTCTTTTTTTTTTTTTTTTTGGTGAGATGGAGTTTTGCTCTTTTTGCCCAGGCTAGAATACAATGGCACAATTGCTGCTCACTGCAACCTCTGCATCCCAGATTCAAGGGATTCTCCTGCCTCAATCGATTTTCCAGCCTCAGCCTCCAGAGTCGCTGGGACTACAGGCACATGCCACCACATCTGGCTATCTTTTTTTTTTTTTTTTTTTTTTTTAGTATTTTTAGAAGAGACAGGGTTTCGCCACATTGGCCAGGCTGGTCTTGAACCCCTGACCTCAGGCGATCCACCCACCTTGGTCTCCCAAAGTGCTGGGATTACAGGTGCGAGCTGCTACGCCTGGCCATATTTCTATTAAGCTTTACCTGCCGTAACTCCTATTTGGTTTCCCTCTCCTGATTACACCCAGACTGATATACCTTGGTAAAAATCTCAACTTATACCCTACTCTGTTATTTCTCAGTCGACTAAAAAAAAGATTAACAAATGCAATGCATTTTAATTTCCTTTTGATATCTGAATCGTCCTGGAGTTTTACCTTCTCTGTTTTGCTCTCCCTCCCGTGAAATCCTTCTTGATATACTCTGTATTTTAGCTTCACAAACTATGATGCTATTCTATAAACAAACTGTGTTCTTGCCCATCCTCATAGACCCCAGTTCTTCTGCCTGGAATCTGTCCTTCCTGTAATGTTCTTTTTATTTATTTTTATTTTTACTTTTTTTGAGATGGAGTCTCACTCAGTCACCCAGGTTAGAGTGCAGTGGCATGATCTCAGCTCACTGCAACCTCTGCCTCCCAGGTTCAAGCAATTCTACCTCAGCCTCCAGAGTAGCTGCGACTACAGACATGAGCCACCATGCCTGGCTATTTTTTGTACTTTTAGTTGAGACAGGGTTTCACCATGTTGGCCAGGCTGGTCTCGAACTCCTGACCTCGTGACCGTCCCGCCTCATCCTCCCAAAGTACTGGGATTACAGGTGTGAGCAACTGCGCCTGGCCCCCCGCCCCACCCTCCGACTTTTTTTTCCTTTTCTTTTTTAGATGGAGTTTCTCTTTTGTTGCCCAGGCTGGAGTGCAATGTCACCATCTTGGCTCACTGCAACTTTTGCCTGCTGGATTAAAATGATTCTCCTGCCTCAGCCTCCCAAGTAGCTGGGATTACAGCCAAGTGCCACCACACCCGGCTAATTTTTAGTAGAGATGGGGTTTCACCATGTTGGTCAGGCTAGTCTCAAACTCCTGATCTCAGGGGATCCACCCAACCCAGTCTCCCAAAGTGCTGGGATTACAGGCATGAGCCACAGAGCCCAGCTCCTGTAATGTTCTTAAATAATTCCTACTTATCCTTCAAGACTCAACTCCATTATCTTTGTGGAGCTTCTTTCGCAGAGTTTTTCACAGACCTCTATTTTAGCAGTTAGCACATAATATTTTATTTTCTCCAATAGACTATAAGCTCCTTGAAGACAGGGGCTGTCTCCTGTTTATTTTTATACTCCTAGCTCCTAAAACAGTGCCCAACACAAATAGGAAATCAGTAAATGTTTGTCGAATAAATGTGTCTACATATGATGCAAGAGATGAAACTTTTTCAAAGCCATTATTATTTACAATAATTGGCTATGATACAACTCAGCAATTCCTTTCTGACCATGTTATGAAAGTTATGGCAACTCAGAAAATCAATTCTGCTCTTGCAATGACTAGGCCCTCCAGAGTCTAACTTATTCCGATCAGCTTAAAAACCAGAATACTCTCTAATATCTGTCCCTAGACCAACAAGGCAAGATGCTATTCCCAGCCTCAAGGTCTTATCTCAGTTCCTTACCTAGGGAGACCAGTTGTCTTTAGTTAGACAGCCTAGGGAGATCTTGCTGAGTTAACCGTTGTTTTTCTTTTCTTTTCTTTTTTTTTTTGAGACAGGGCCTCACTTTATCACCCATTGGTATGGAGTGCATTGGCATGAACATGGCTCACTGCGGCCTCAAACTCCAGGGCTCAAGCGATCCTTCTGCCTCAGCCTGCCAAGTAGCTGGGACTACAGGCACAAGCCACCACGCTCGGCTAATTTTTGTATGATCTGTAGAAATGGGGTTTTTCCATGTTTCCCAGGCTGGTTTTGATCTCCTGAGCTCAATTGATCCTCCCTCCCCAGCTTCCCAAAGTGCTGGGATTACAGGTGTGAGCCACCGCACCCAGCCTTAACTGTCTTTTTAAATGTCACCTTTCTCACTTATACCTAACTCATGGAGAATGATTACATGAGAGAATGCAAATAAAGCTTGCATGGTGCCTGACACCAAATGATCAAATAGTAGGTGCTAATGACATTCCCTTGTGCCCAGGGTTACCACAATTCCAACAGTTCCTCCTTGCTCTTTTTCCTAGATTGAAGATGGAGCCCAGCCTGGACGTTCTGATAGTGCATTCTTGGCAGCTTTGGAGATCTGGACAGCAGTCTTTACCCATTCTCTGCTACATGATGCCCATTTTAGGATTTGGGCACCTCCAGTTCATCTACCTGGAGCCCAGCTTACGTCACATCTCAGATTCAGCTCCGTAAACCCACAGCCTTTGTAGGTCTTTCAGGAGCCCTCAAGTCCCTCTGTCTCCTTTACCAGCTCTTGGCCTGTCCCGCCCTGTCTTCCCTCCACACAGCTGATCACAGTCCAGCACATACAGTGACAGTCCAAGAGAAACAAAAGCAGAGGAAATTTCAGACCATTTCCTCCCAAAGCAGAACTTGTTGGGAAATCTCTAACAGAAATAAATGATCCTGGGGTTTCATATACTTGACATGGAAGTAAGTGTGCTGCTAACCAGTATTTGTTTTTCTGTTTTTGTTGCCTAGAGAGGAGAAAACATTGACTAGAGCTTCTCTATGCCTCAGAGACTTTGGACCAGCCTCTCTAGCTTCCTCCACTGATAACTAACTTTCAACATGGCCCTGAAAGAGTTTAAGTCCTAGCCCTGTCTGTGGGCAGCTGTGTGAGCACGAGTAAGTTTCTTAACTCCTCTAATTCTCAATGTTTCCATCTATAAACTAAGATGATCATAAGAGCGGTGGCTAGTAAAAGAAAATTAGATGATACACAGAAATTACTCAGCAAAGTACCCGGTACAGCATAAGCACCCAGTTGAGAGTTAGATCTCTCTCTCTCTTTCTTTTTTAAATGGAGCCCAAATGGTCCAGAAATAATAATAATAAAAAGGGGCTGGGAGTGGTGGCTCACGCCTGTAATCCCAGCACTTTGGGAGGCCGAGGCGGGCGGATCGCAAGGTCAAGAGATCGAGACCATCCTGGCCAACACGGTGAAACTCCGTCTCTACTAAAAAATACAAAAATTAGCTGGGCATGGTGGCACGTGCCTATAGGCCCAGCTACTTAGGAGGCTGAGGCAGGAGAATTGCTTGAACCCAGGAGGTGGAGATTGCAGTGAGCTGAGATTGTGCCTGGCGCCTGGTGACAGAGCAAGACTCTGTCTCAAACAGAAAAAATAAAAAAAGGATGACACTGCCATCAAGGTGGGATGCCTGTATAGACCTGCAGGAAAACATCTTCCCGGAGGCCTACAGCAAAGGTGGATTTTGAATAACTGTGACCTTTTCAGGTACCTCAGGGATACTCAGAAGTTCCAGACTCATAAACTTGGGCATCTTTTTTTTTAATTGCCAGACATTGCTGAGTTTTTCAAAATTGTGGTGAAATTTACCATTTTAATCATTTTTATCTTGGGCCATATTTAGCACTGTCCACAACTCTTGTAAAATGGTCACTGATTAGTCAGGACTCCTTATATTTCAAGATATAGAAAATTCATTCAAAACAAGAGGGGAATAATGGGTTTATTTAACTGAAAGTACAGTGAAATCTGACTTTATGCATAATTTGGTTCAACAGCTCAAGTGATTTCAATGAAGGACTTGTTTCTCTCCATATTTTTTCTCTGCTCTCTGCTCTACTGGTGTTATTGTCAGCTCCAGGCACCCCATTCTTGGTAATAAAATGGTTGCCAACCAGGTCATCCTTCTAGTCCGGAAGAGTGTCTACTCTTCAGGGAAGAGAGCATCTTGTGGAACTCCCACCCCGTCAGAGGTCCCAATATCTCCTTCTATCTTGTTGTCTTGGATTGCATTGTATGCTTATTTTGGAAAGACCATGGTGAGGGGGCTAGTGTATAGTAACTGGCTTAAGCCAATTACAGCCCATCCTAGGATTAGAACAGGGGTCAGTTACACCTAATCACATGACTGACCATGGGGGAAGGGTCCTTCTCTCAAATCAAAACTGGGGCTGTTACCAGGAGAGGAAATGCCCACCAAAAACACTTTATCCTGGCCTCCAGCCCAGGAGTTCCCGTCTACCATCCCAAATAACATAATTTCATAGAGTTTCTCCTCCTTGCCATATTCAAGCACACTTTTTTTCCTAGCTGGTGTTCTGATCTCATTCTCCACTGCTATTCATATGATGACAAGAAGATGAGACAGGGATGGTCACTGATCCCTAGAGTTTAAGTTTTCAAACTATTCCAGAATGAAGGGGCTCTTCAATGAATTTGAATATAGCTGAAATTGTCAACGTATCCCCACAAAAGCTGAGTCACCATGTGCACGAAACTCAACTTTGAAAACTCACTTCCTGAGACTGGGCATGGTGGCTCACATCTGTAATCCCAGCACTTTGGGAGGTCAAAGCAGGTGGATCACCTGAGGTTAGAAGTTGGAGTCCAGCCTGGCCAACATGGCAAAACCCTAAACCCTGTCTCTATTAAAAATACAAAAATTAACTGGGCATCGTGGTGCCCATATAATCCCAGTTACTTGGGAGACTGAGGCACAAGAATCATTTGAACCCAAGAGGTGGAGGTGGAGGTGAGCCAATATGCACCACTGCACTCCTTCCTGGATGATAGCGTGAGACTTGGTCTAAAAAACAAAAAACTCACTGCCTGTAAAACAAGTAAAAGTCAACTTTAGAATTTAAAGTCAATTTCAGATGTTAGACAAGGAAAGCCTGATGGCATATGACCCTACCCTTAACTTTAACTGGTTATGCACTGGTTTAGAGTCCTGGAAACAGGACGCATTTTGCATTTTTAATGAAGAATGTGTATATGCTATTACATAAATTAACCTGGTCTTCTGCTAATTATGTCAAATCCGCAGATTTCTCCCGAACAAGGGACTTTTGTTTTTAGCTTCTCTGACACACTTTTCTCATGCCCTCTGTTTGAGTTGCGGTGCTTGCTTCCTAAAAGCAGAGCACTAACAGACATAACAATTAGGCATTCTAGAATTCTTACCACATTTTAATTCTTTCCATTTAAAATGGCATGGCCAGGCACGGTGACTGATGCCTGTAATCCCAGAACTTTGGGAGTCCAAGGCGTGTGAATCACCTGAGGTCAGAAGTTTGAAACCAGCCTGGCCAACATGGCGAAACCTGATTTCTACTAAAAGTACAAAAATTAACTGGGTGTGGTGGTGGGCACCTGTAATCCCAGCTACTTGGAAGGCTGAGGCAGGATAATCGCTTGAACCTGGGAGGTTGTGGTGAACCGAGGTTGCACCATTGTACTCCAGCCTAGGCAACAAGAGCAAAACTCTGTCTCAGAAAAAAAAAAAAAATTGAATACTCATTTCTGTCACTTTTTCTGAGTTAACCACACTTGAGGGGGAAGATCTGCCATTTATACTGTGTGGCTGTAACTGAGTTATAATTGCCCGCTGGTGACAGCATACTTTAGTTGTAGGCAAAGCATCCAAAAGGAAATTAACAGCATCTCAAGTACCAGTTGCACAAAACTTAAACAAATGACAGTATTACTACTTAAATTTTTGAAGTTTAAGTATCTCAAATTATATAGGAATCAGAAATACATGGGATCTTATGCTTTAACATTTTGTTACTTTGTGGGATGTTTTAAATCTAGCCTATTTGATTTCAGTGTTTAATAATTAAAGGATGAAACCTTATTAGAAGACATATAATTGTGTGTGTATACAGACACACAATATATACATATATATATGTCATATATACATACACACTCTTTTACTGTTTTTTTTCCCCTCTCATGTATAACAACTAGAAGTTAACATTTTTTTTCCTAAGACAGGGTCTCTCTGTCATCCAGGCTAGAGTGCAGTGGTGTGATCATAGCTCACTGCAGCCCCCAACTCCTGGGCTCCAGTGAGCCTTCTGCCTCAGCCTCCCGAGTAGTCAAGACCTCAGGTGAGTGCCATCATGCTTGACTGATCTTTAAAAAATATTTTTTGTAGAGATGAGGTCTTGCTATGTTACCCAGGCTGGTCTTGAACTCCCTGGCCTCAAGTGATCCTCTCTTCTTGGCCTCCCAAAGCACTGGTATTACAGGTGTGAGCCATTATGTCCAGTGAAAATGTTTATTTTCACTAAAGTTGACAAATGAAGAAATTTTTAAAAGCATAAAGTTTCTTTTACTTTTAAAAATTTGATCCTTAAGGCTGGGTGCAGTGGCTCATGCCTGTAATCCCACCACTTTGGGAGGCCAAGGTGGGCAGATCACAAGGTCAGGAGTTCAAAGCCAGCTTGGCCAATGTAGTGAAACCCCGTTTCTGCTAAAGATACAAAAAAGTTAGCTGGGCATGGTGGTGGGCACCTGTAATCCCAGCTACTTGGGAGGCTAAGGCAAGAGAATCACTTGAACAAGCGAGGCGGAGGTTGCAGTGAGCTGAGATTGCATCACTGTACTCCAGCCTGGATGACAGAGGGAGACTCCATCTCAAAAAAACAAAACAAAACAAAACAATTTGATCCTTAAAAAATAGACTTATTGACATATAAGGAATGTATAGTAAACTGCACATAGTTAAAGTGTTTAATTTATAAGTTTTGACACACATATGCACCTACGAAACCATCACCAACAATCAAGATAATGAATATATGCATTGCCCTCAAAAGTTTCCTCATGCCCCTTTTGTAAGTGCCCCTATGTCCCCTACCCCATTCCCAGGCAACCATGATCTGCCTGTCACTATAGACAGAAAGTTTTGTATTCAAATGGAATCATACAGTGTGTACTCTTTCATGCCTGACTTTATTCACTCAGCATAATTATTTTGAGATTTATCCATATTGTTGCACATATCAGTAGTTTTATTACTGAGTAATAAGGAACATAGAATTTTAATAGCTGATCTTAAAATTCATAAAATAGAATTTTGTTAATTCTCTTTAGTCTTTTACTTGAATATAGTAACAGAGGGAATTTTTGTCAGAAGTGGCAGGTCTGAAATTCATTAGACATGAGGCTTTATACTTCTGCTGCTACTCCGGGGGCTACCAGGTTTCCCCATGACCTTAAGTTTCTAGCACAAGCTTGTCCAGCTTGAAGCCCATGGCGGCACATGTCCCAGGACGGCTTTGAATGCGACCTAACACAAATTCGTTAACTTTCTTAAAATATTATGAGATTTTTTTTTGCTATTTTTTAAAATAGCTCATCAGTTATCGTTAGTATTAGTGTATTTTATGTGTGGCCCAAGACAAAGCTTCTTCCACTGCAGCCCAGGGAAGCTAAATGATTGATCATCCCTGATCTAGCAGTTCATTGTATTCATATTACAAATTACATGTGTTAGGAGAAGGTTTGACATTGATTTGAATTGTAGAAACATAGAATTTCTTTTCTTTCTTTTTTTGGAGGGCGGTTGGGGAGAAGAAAGTCTCGCTCTGTGGACCAAGTTGGAGTGCAGTGGTGTGATCTTGGCTCACTGCAACCTCTGCCTCCCAGGTTCAAGTGATTCTCCTGCTTCAGCCTCCTGAGTAGCTGGGGTTATAGGCACACACCATCATGTCTGGCTAACTTTTTTGTATTTTTAGTAGAGATGAGGTTTTGCCATGTTGGCCAGGCTGGTCTTGAACTCCTGACCTCAGGTGATCCTCCCATCTTGGCCTCCGAAAGTGCTGGGATTACAGGCGTGAGCCACCGTGCCCAGCCTCAGAAACAAAGAATTTCATGACTAGTGCGAGCTTTGGAGATAATATTGCCAGTCTCTTCATTTTACAGATGAAGAGTTGGAAGCCCAGAGAGTTTAAGGGGTCTGTCCAAGGTCACATGGAACTGGTTTCCTTCAATGACATTATGGAGAGGACAACAGGGACTCCAGGTGGAGGATGCGGTCAGATCTCTCTTGAGTTGCATCATTCCTGGCTGCAGACCTCTGAGCCTCTGCCTCACCTTCCTCTGTCCCACCCCCAGTGGTTCACCCCCACCAGTGTCTCACCTGCTTCTGTGATGAGGTAGATGACCTTGCTCCACCATAGCAAGCTGATTGCAGCCCCCTGATGCTTGAGAGCAGCTCAGAAACCTAAACTTCAAGAATGCTTTTGCCTGGTCAGGCATGGTGGCTCATGCCTATAATTCCAGCACTTTTGGAGGCCAAGAAGGGCAGATTGCTTGAGATCAAGAGTTCAAGACCAGCCTGACCAAGAGGGTGAAATCCCATTTCTACTAAAAATATAAAAATTAGTTGGGTGTGGTGGCACACACCTGTAATCCCAGGTATGGAGGCTGAGGCAGGAGAATCACTTGAACCCAGGAGGTGGAGGTTACAGTGAGCCGAGATTGTGCCATTGCACCCAGCCTGGTTGCCGGAGTGAGACTTTGTCTTAAGAAAACAACAAAAAAGAATGCCTTTGCCCAGCTCACTTGAGCTACCAAATTTAATGGATGTCCCTGCTCTCCTAGTTGCCTTAGAACAGCCTTCAAGGTGTCTCTTTACTAAACAGAAACCCAAATGGACAACAGAGCAAAAGATTCTTGCTGAAGCCTAGAGAGGAAACACTGGGACCCATATTTAAACATTTACTTTATCCCCCTTTCTTCATTCTTCCTCCCACAGTACCTCTGAGGTTAAAAGGGGCAGCATTGTCCTCCTTCTTCCTATGTGGAACTCTGCAGTCACTAGCCTGGACCTTGGTAAATAAAGATAGAGGTAAAGGAAGATCTGCAGTCCTCTCTTGCTAGGGTTGTGCATGAAAATCCTATTTTTGAGTGTCAGAAGCTGGATTTCCTCTTTGCATTCCTCTGTGACACTTTTAATCTCTCCAGGCAAAAGGATGCCTCAGGAAGACAAGGCTGAAAGGCATGTGTTCTGACAAGCTAAATATAAAAGCACATAACAAATGACCAGAATTACCTATATTTCAGTTGTTATCAGAATGCCCTAATTAATACCCACCCGCTGAGACTTGCAATAAAATTACAGCTGCCCCAAAGCCAGGCACCTCCGTAATTGATGCTCTCTGCACTACAGCGGTGGCAATAGCTAACATTTATGAACATTTACTATGTCCTATGCAGGCATCTCATTTAATTCTCCCAACGACCCTATGGTGTAAATACTACTACTACACCCATTTTACTGATGAGGAAACAGCCTTAGCAAGGTGAGCTGCTCAAGGTTACATTCATAGTAAGTGATAGAGGAGGAATCTGAAGCTTGGTTTTTAGCTTCTAGCTGCTTTCTTCCTGGTTTTTACCTACCAGTTTTCACTGCTTCCCATTTGATCACCATATACACAAGGGTAGATCTCTTAGACTGAACCAACCAATTTAACCCAACTGCAGTAGAAGCAGATTTTCCAAGACAGTTCCTACCAATTGAAATTAATTGAAATGTACAATAAAATCTGAGAGGATGTGTTTATGGCAAAACTACAGTTGGCTAACTTAGAAGTTATTGCTTCTAGAAATCTAGGCACTAGTGATAGCTTTATTATTATTATTATTATTATTTGAGATGGAGTTTTGTTCTTGTTGCCCAGGCTGGAGTACAA